GTGTCCTGCTGTCTCTTTCTGTGGACAAACTACTGAGCTCTACGATGCTGTGGTCCTCGAGCAGGCTGTGTGCTCCAGCACTTTTTTGCACTCACAGTTCTCCCTGTTGACGGGTCATTTCTTTACCCTGTCAGCTGTCACCCTTTACCCATTACCCTGTTACCATTTCTTCACCTCCTAGATACGGCGCAGGGGTTTCCTTCTCTGAGAAACTTCCCTTCTTTCCCAGGTGATCTTTCCCTCTGGGGCTGCTGTGCATGTCATATTGTATCATAATTGTGTGTATAAATTGCATTTATTGTTGTCTGAAAGGCAGCATGTCTAATTTATTTTGTTTCCCAACAAAGCACACAGTATGTGTTAAATATTTGTGGACTCGAATATAGCTCTTCGTTTCTGTCTGTGCTCCATCCCACGCATCCCAGTCTACTGGATATTAGTTCTTCATGAATGTATCTGTCTCTCTCACAAGGTGTTGAGGTCAGAGACTATGCCCCATTCCTCTCTTATTCCTCAAAGCACCTATGATGTTCAGTGTAGTGATCGGTACTCAGTAAATGCTTGCCAGTTTGACAGGGTTACCTGGACTCTGATGTTTAGTTCTCAGAGTGAAAGTGGAAGGTGAAAGTCAAGGGCTTTATAAAGTGTAAGTCCTTAGAGTAGTCTCTAAGAGTCAAATGTCATTGAATTCTGTATCTTTCCGGTGTAGGTTGGCAATTTCCAACAATTATTCAAAACATTTTTTAGCACATGGAAGAGAATTTTCTGTTTCTGAAGAAGGCACTCATCATTCGTGTCTCTTGAAGCGCTGACTGGGGTTAGAGCTTGTGGGTATTGGAGTTTGGGGCCATCTGACTTATAAGTAGCTCACGCTGTTGATGGGCTGTAAATACTGGACAAAAGGCTCCTTGCCCCGAGCATCATCTTTTGGTGTAGGGTGTGAAGACAGAATGACAGCTACATAGGATTGTTGTCATTGTAATATGCTGTTTATACTGCCTTATTTATTTCACTCTCTTGTTAAACTCTTATCCAGTCTGCTAAATTCAGTACCTACTGCTCATTTCAAGACCTGGCCAGATACAGGTCCCGCTTATCTTTACAGTCCCATATCCGTGTGTGTGTGTGTGTGTGTGTGTGTGTGTGTGTGTGTGTGTCTTGTATCATCAAACTGAACCTGCATTTCTGAGTCTAGTTGACTTCTGAAGCTCTTGAGGACTCAACGCTAGCTAACATCCCATTTAACTTCTCTGTGTGAAATGCTGATCTAGAGAAATAATTATATTTAAATAAAACCTAGGAAATGGTCTCCATTTTCTGACAGTCCTTGACACCTTCACTGCTGCCCCCCAAACTTTGGAATTGTGAGATTGTGGTGGTGATGAAAGAAAGGCTTCACATCTAGATTATGTTTAAGCCACAAGTGTACAAACTTACTTCTGAGTTCTTCCAGTGATTTCAGTACTATATAACTGTGTGGGCTTGAGGACTGAGATATCATGCAAGTAGTACATGGCAGGGCCTCTGCTTTCAAGGGTTTAAGTCTTAAGGATACACAAGACTCAAATTCAGACAGGATCACAGAAGACTGCAGGACTTTATGTGTGGCAGTGATGTTAGGTTGTTTTGTTCAACTATCTTCAGCTATCAGAGCTGCTGAAGGCCAGTGTGGTCTCAAACAATTGGTGAGGAATTGAGGGTGGAGCCTGGAGCTGGGTTTTGGAGAGGGGCGATTTGGTCAGGCCGAAGGAAGAGACCAAGTGGGTGAAAGGCATGGAAGTTATAAGAGTTTTGTGGGGAGTGCATCAAGTGTGGGTGACCTTGAAGAGACCCATTAACTTGTTTGTCCTGAGAGTGGAAAGAACCTTTGGTGTTTTACATAGTAGGGTTACCATCAATCAGTGGAGAACCACACGTTCTTATTTTCTCTCTAAGCCTGTGTCTGCAGGTCAGTGAGTTCTTAAAATTATATATATTTTAATATTGATTATGTTCACGATAGATGTTTATATTCATCTTTTTTCATAGATACATGAGAGAAAACTTTTATCTTTACATTGCAATATCACGTTAGTTTTTCCTTCCCCCCTCCCAAAGGATAACATGCTGCATTTGGTTATAGTATCAGTATTACTCATGTTGGAAAACCTTTTTCTTCAATTACCAGAAAATACAGAGCCTCTGGAAATTGGGGCAGTAAACTATGGTTCTGGATTAGGATGCTTAGTTTCTTATCAGCTAATTCAAACCTCAAGAAATGTTTATCAGTTAATGAAGTATAGTTGTGATAAACCAAATGACTGACTTTTCCTTCTGCAGCCAGGATCCTTGATCTAAAATGATGAGTAATTTGGGTAGTAGCAGTTTCACTTAGTGACCTGCCTTTCCCCCATGCATCCTGGTCTCCATTTTTTATTATTAACATTTAATATTTATTTATTTGTTTTGGCTGTGCCAGGTATTGGTTGTGGCGTGTGGGTCTAGTTCCCTGACCTGGGATCAAACCCGGGCCACCTGCATTGGGAGTGCAGAGTGTTAGCCACTGGGCCACCCAGGAAGTCCCTCCATTTATTCCTAACAACCATCCTCAGAAACATAAAAGAAGGTAGAGGAATTATATTGGCATTCCCATATTTTGTGCTTTCTTTCTAAGCCAAAGAGATACACTTAACAAAGTACTTAAAATGCTGAAATAGGATTGGTTTCCTAATAGGAATAAAGAAAACTGTGTTGAAATGTCAGTAGGAAAGGATCGCTCTCTTATTGGGTGGCAAAGGAGGTCAGGGTACTACTGGCTAAAAACCAACACTTATTCTTTGCTGCGGGTGATGATTATTATACAGTCGTGAAGCACAGGAGAATCCTGGGGAAATCCCTGGGATTTCTGTTAGCATGTCCTACCCCCGTTAGATTCCTTGGTTCATTGTAGCCTTAATGTGAAACATGTATTTTACTAATTTGTCCCATGCTGTCTCATATGGTTGCTTTATTGTAGGCCAAGTCAAGTGGCTTTTCTTTACCTCGTTAAATAAAGCTGTGATTTAAATGGCTTTTAAAAAATAAAGCAGGCAATATAAGAGAAGGCTTTATCAAAAGTACTGTGAGTGATGTTTTTATTATTATTATTATTATTATTATTATTATTATTATTGTTCTACCTGTTCAGAACAGATGCCTTTTAGAGCAGTTGTTCCACTTAAAGAAATTTTCTTGGAAGAAACCTCAAGCTTTATGTACAGAGCAAAGGCCCATGGCTCTCTTAGATTTAAAAACATGCGTGCATTGTTATAACAGCATCCATAAATGTTTGTCTTGTTTAAAAGGATAGATGCACAGAAGGTTGAAACTTCTTAATTGCAACTTGATATACCAGTTTTTCTAGGTAGTTTCCCTCTGAAATCACATTCCTCTTATCTCTGCCTGCGGTCATGACATAAGGATTCATTTCTTTTTAGCTAATTCATGGAATTTCAAGAAGATAATTCTTTATCTTCATCATTATAAGAAATGTCATGGTTTTCTTTCCGCAGATTTAAAGGTTAGGGTTATCTACCTAATTGTGGAATCCATGGAGTTTCTTTTCTTGATATTGAACTCTGGGTTTTATTTGGGGGGCCTCAGAGTTCTGGGAGGGATATTGAACACAGTTCAGTTCAGTTCAGTCGCTCACTTGTCCGACTGTCTGCAACCCCATGGACTGCAGCACGCCAAGCCTCCCTGTCCATTGCCAGCTCCCGGAGTTTACTCAAATTCATGTCCANTTCCACTGTTTCCCCATCTATTTGCCATGAAGTGATGGGGCAAGATGCCATGATCTTAGTTTTCTGAATGTTGAGTTTTAAGCCAACTTTTTCACTCTCCTCTTTCACTTTCCTCAAGAGGCTCTTTAGTTCTTCTTTGCTTTCTGCCTTAAGAGTGGTGTCACCTGGATATCTGAGGTTATTTATGTTTCTGCTGGCAATCTTGATTGCAGTTTGTGCCTCATCATTGAACACAGTGATGGAGAAAGGGCAGGGCACTGTGCTGTTCGTGCCTATACTTTTAGTTCCCATGCCCTCTGCCCTGGAAAATCCTTTTTTTTTTTTAAATTCTCATGGTTCTATTACCTATGAAGAAAGATTAAAGCCACAGGAAAGCCCCCCCCCCATTTCTTTTTAATAATCATTTTGGAGTTTCTGAATCGATGTATTGGAGACTAGTTAAGAATAACCACGTCCAGAAGGTCAAGCCCCTGTGATAGGATTACATACCATATAAATCATAGTTCAGCTCCTTAACTTTGTACACAATCAAAACATTTACCAAGCAAGTTAGTCTAATGTTTTGTTACTTTGAAAACTATTTCCTTTTCAGAGATTTTACTGGATGCAGAGGTGGTTTTTTTTTTTAATACAAAATTGAATGATAAAAAAATTCATGCGTGGTTGATGATAAGGATGCAATTTGCTTTTAAAGTTATATTCAGGGTTGAAATATGTGAAAATTGTCATCTAAACAATGCTTTCTAAATGGGGGAGAAATCCCATATTGATTAGAGTATTTTTCAAAGGAAATATATATATATATATATATATATATATATATGCCAATTAAAAAAAAATTCAAATATGAAAATTGATTTTGAAGTATTTGACCACAAGCAATATGATTGCAGCATATTTCTTTTTTTTTTTTCTTCCTGATGCTCTTTTTGTTGGCCATTTTATAATCATTAAAAATACCTTTGAATGACTGGATAGATTCTATTAAGCCAAGGAAGAAACTTATTATGCCCACACTGTGTTTTTGAGCAAATATAAGAGTTTATTGCTTCAGGCAGTGGAGTAAATTTGGCTTCTGATCTTTGTGAAGTAGAGCATATATTAGATCATGTAATCAAGATGCTGAGTTTGCCTTGTTTTTTTTTTTTTTTTCTTTCATTGCTTCCTTCTGATGTATCGCTGCTGTGTGGACAACCCTCTCTACTTCTGCTGCTGAAATTTTTTGTTTCCGTCATTCAGGAAACCTCCCAAGGTAAGCACTGATATGGAATTTGGCATGCATGCTGGCCAAGTGTGCCAAAATTTTGAATTTCATCTGTCACAATGACCCCTCTGAAACACCTCTGCTTTTGAGAAGACAGCTGGGCATTCTAATGTAAAACTTAAACCATGAACAGTTAATGTTGGTAATGATATTAAATGTGAATGGTCCTCTACATCTTATAAAGCACTTTCATACATTATTTCATCCTTGGAACTAATGCGTGGGTTTTCAGGACAAACCTATCTGACTGTTGTTTATATTTTGTTGATGATGACATGAGGCCCAGAGAGAGGAAATAATTTATAATAACAATAATTCATAGATAGGGTAATGGAGAGTGAAAGTGAAAATTGCTCAGTCATGTCTGACTCTTTGCCACCCCATGGACTATAGTCCATGGAATTCTTAGGCCAGAATACTGGAGTGGGTAGCCTTTCCCTTCTCCAAGGGAAATCTTCCCAACCCAGGGATCAAACCCAGGTCTCCTGCATTGCAGGCAGATTCTTTACCAACTGAGCTATGACGGAAGCCTTCATAGGGTAATGCAGAACTATATAATATCACCACCTAGAAAATGGGAAGACAGAAATGGTAACATCAAGGTAGGTTGGTAACTGGGTTATTGACTGGACAGACTAACTTTTCTATGTCATACTAAGAATCATTGATATCATCAGAAAAATTCTCCAAACTTTTAGAGTTTCAGCCATCTGCCAACTTTCTGTGCTCCTTTGGAGTTTCTAGCCCATTGCAAAGTCCACTAATTAGAGCTAGCCCCCGCGCTCCGGCCAGCCTTTGTTGACATGTGTGCCGGTGAGAAGCCTCAAAATTAAAGAGTAGGTAGAAAAAGAAGACAGTGAGAAGCAGGACATCATCTGAATGATCAACTCTTGAATGAATGAAGGCTGATTTTTATTACTGGTGAGTATTTTATTGGTTATCCAAGGGACACTTAGTACCAAAAGGAAGGAGAAATGCAATCAGCCTCTGACCAGTGATGCTGGTTGTAGCTTTGGTTTTTGAGATGGGATCAAGTCAGGTTACACCCACATATATTATATGGTCAGAATCTAAGACACGTTGGGTAAGGAGAAATCCAGGATAGATTAGACTTACTTATCTCTGAGATTATGAAGGAAAATCTAACTTAGCTTTCGTAGTATTGAGACCTCCCTAAAATGCTAAGTGTCATCCTTTATGTTTATTTAAGGCAGTATAGGAATTGTCCTTGGCGTTAAGAATTCCAGCTCCAGTAAGGAAGCCGTGCATTGAACAAATAATATGAAATCTTTTAAGAAAGAGGCAGTGTATGATGTTTAGAAATAAAAGCACTTGCATCCTGGCCAAATCTGAGGGATTAGAAGGTTATTCCTGAGCAATCATTGATGTGGTGTGTGTGCTCAGTCATTTCCGAGTCTCTTGTGACCCCATGGACTGTTGCTCTCCAGGCTCCTCTGTCATGGGATTTCCCAGGCAAGAATGCTGAAGTGGATTGCCATTTTCTACTCCAGGGGATTTTTCCGACCCAGGGATTGAACCCGCGTTGACAAGCGGGTGCTTTACCACTAGCGCCGCATGGGAAGCCCCTATTGATGTGGAAATGTGTAACCAAAAATGTCTCTGCTACTCAGAAAGATGTGAGCTCCCCTTAAGTAGCTCTTTCTTCCCTTGCTGTTGGTTCCTAAAGGTTTCAGAACAGACAGCCAACCTTGTGATGTATTTAATTCTCTCCCTACAGAAAAAGGCACTAAAATCCTGAGCAGTTCCGCATAGGGTTACTTAATGAAGGAGAAGCAGTAAAATGAAAAAGAGGCACAAAACCACATTTTTAAAAAATCACTAATTGTTTTATATACAGAAATGTTCTGGTTACTTTCTACCTGGTATATAATAGTTTCGTGGTTTCACTAGGTATCCTATTAATAGTTCCTATGAAGTGTCATGAAATTTCCAAGGTAAAATGAATGACATTAAATATAAATATACATATATACATGCGCACACCTATGTGTGAGTGTGTGTGTGTGTGCCCGTGCGCGTGCATGCCGTAAGGCACATCTGGAAAGTATGAAGATCATCTTAAATTCAAATAAATGACATAGCAAACTGAAATTTTTAAAAAAGATGCTAAGGTAGATAAGGTCTTTTCATGCAGAAACTATGAATATTGAAAGCAAATGGGAAACATATTTTTAATGATGACTATATAAGCATGAACTTTTATTTATTTCAGACAATGAGATTTTGACATGCATAATTAGTAAAAGCATCAGAGAAGACAAGTTGGTTTCATTTAACAAATATTCTGGGCAAGGGCCAAGTGCTGCATGAATCAGACCAGATCCTAGCATTCTAATGAGGTTGAAGTACAGAACATGTGCGTAATGTAATATAAAATCAAGAGGAAACTATCTGTCAAACTCATAGGATAGAAAGTCCAGTTCTGACTTCTGCAAAACTGACAGCTAAGACCGGACAAAATATTAAAAACCTATACTTGAACCTTTACATGGCATCTACACAATGGCTGTTGAATGAATGAAGAAAAAAAAGAAAAACCTGTTGTACCAGAAGGACACTTCACCAGTTTAGTAGAAAGAAGGTTCAAGTTTAGCTAAATCATGTGTTCCCTTCACTGGTGGACAGAACCACTTTGCTAAAGACCGAGCCAGAGAATAGGTGGGGAAACAATGGAAACAACANCCCTGATGCTGGGAGGGATTGGGGGCAGGAGGAGAAGGGGACGAGAGAGGATGAGATGGCTGGATGGCATCACTGACTCAATGGACATGAGTTTGAGTAAACTCTGGGAGTTGGTGATGGACAGGGAGGCCTGGCGAGCTGCAGTCCATGGGGTCGCACAGAGTCAGACACGACTGCGCGACTGAACTGAACTGAACTGAGCCAAACACTCTGTCCTAAATCCATTCTCAAGGAGACCCAAATGCCCGGCTGGGTCGTAATCCTGATCATCTTCTGTGGCCTGTCCCCAGAGGGAAAGTGCCCATTGGACCTTACAAATCTCACCAGTAATTTGGATTCTCTTGTCATTATATTAATTTGTGTTTTCCTGAGGAATATCTGCCTTTTCCTGTAGTCTGTGTTTGGACAATTATTGAAATTATGCCTAATGATGTTGGTAAATAATAATCACGTCCCTATAGTATTTTCTGTTTCTATTATGTGTGAGGATTTTGCACATTTTATTTAAAAATATTCTAAGGTAGAGGTGCTGATTAGGAGAAAGGAGGGGCTGTCTCTTGGAATATTTGGTTGAGTTATCACTGTTCCTACCCAGCTGTTACACAGGAAAGAAGTCTCACAGTCTTTTTATCTGTCCTTGGAACTGTACTCTTAGAATGCTATGCTATTTTCATTGTTTCTATTAATAATAGCTATCTTTAATTCAGCACTTAAAATATGCCAGATCCACTTTAAATCCAAATTAAAATTTAATGCAAACTTGGATGCCTTCAGAGAAACAGGGGCAAAAGCAGTGGTTGCCAGGAGGAGTGAGAGGAGAGGAGAGATGAATAAATAGGTGAAGTACAGGATTTTTAGAGTAGTGAAACTATTTTGTATGATACTGTAAAGGTAGATATATGACATTATGCATTTATCAAAACTCATAGGACTATATAGCTCAAAAGGGTGAACCTTGATGTATGGAATTTAGTTGTTAATAATGTATTGATATTGGTTTATTGATTATAATAAATATAGCATAACTAATACAAGTTATTAGTAATAAACTGCTGAGAGGGTGTTTATGAAGAGGGGGTATATGGGAACTCTTTGCAATAGCTGATCAGTTTTTCTGTAAACCTAAAACTGCTTTAAAAAATAAAGTATTAATTATGAAAAAATAGATGTACTTCATATTCACAGAATAAAATAGAAAAAACTATGTGAAAAGCATTTGAGAAAGTTCAACACTTGTTTATGTTATAAACTTGCAGCAGGTTGTAGTAGACAGAAACCTCCTCAAGATGGTAATGGACATGCATTAAACATATACAGCTGTCATCATATTTAACAGTAAAAGACTGAACACTTTCCATCCAAGATGCGAAATAGGTGAGGATTTAGCCACTTCTATTCAGCATTGACTGGACTTCTTAGCCAGTTTAATTAGGCAAGAAAGAGAAAAGAAATTCAGATCGGAATGGAGGAAGCAAAAGCATCTTTATTTCTAGACAATAAGGTCATATATTTGATAAACATTTAAGAATCTCCAAATAAGCTTCTAGAACTTACAAGTGGCAGAGTGGCAAGAAAAAGGTCAAAATACAAATTGTACCTCTTTAAAATAGCGTGAGCAATTAGAAAATAAAAATTGACAGCAACCCAATAATTTACAGTAGATTCAAAAACATTAGATATTTAGGGATATACTTAGTTGAAAATGCACAATACCTTTCTATTAGCATCTCAAATATAGATGACCATTGGATTGTAGGCAGATGTGCAAAGAGATGGAGAAAATATCAACTGTATTCAGAGAATGACATAGCGTAGAGTTGGACTGCTGGTCCATGGAAGGGAACCCTGGGTGCCATATTTAGAAGGAAGTTGAGGAACTTCTCTGATGGTCCACTGGTTAGGACTCTGAGCTTTCACTGCCAAGGGCATGATTTCGATCCCTGGTCAGGGAACTAAGATCCCTGGTCAGGGAACTAAACTGCGTGACGTGGCCAAAAAAAAAANTTCATGTTCATTTTACTATAACCTTGCAAAAAAAAAAAAAAAAAAGGAAGAGGTTGAAACCAAATCCTGCTGTGGAGGGCCTTGATACCAGGGTTGCCTCTTGATATATTCCGTGTCACTGTTTTGAACAAAGCAGTGGCCTGATTCAAACTCCCTTTCAGGTTAATCTTAAAGCAGAGCATAAAATAAATTGGGTTTGGTCAGTGGGTGGGAGCAGGATGGGATGCAATAAAATGAGCCAGGAATGAGGTAGATTCATTACCTCTTTTTCAATAAAATGA